AAACAACAAAATAATTATCAAGAGGAAATACCTACCAAATCTGGTTAAATAAGTAAAAAGTGATTTGTAAAGTGCGCTAAAAAAGAATTCATTATTAGTTTTTTTCTGCACTGTTTGGGAAACGCGGTTATAATTTTCCAGCAAATTATTAGTTAGCCCCTTTTTGATAATTAACCGCCGATTATTAATTAAGTGATTTTCACAACTCGCTTGTTTTTCCAGAAGTGGTTGTAGTTCCGATTTTCTTCGCTGGGTTTGATAATGAAAAATAAATCAGAGTAAACTGGCTAAGCCAAAGTAAATCGAGCCGGCTCAGATGGTGGCACCAGAAGCAAATTTTATTTCATAAAGAGCCAAGCCAGCAGTCAAAAGGAAGATGTAAGTATTATCGGGCAAGAAAACCAAGTAATTGCCTAATTCTTTGGCTCAATTGTAAATAATTCCTAACGTTCATTTTTCTTTTCTGTCCGCCACTTTTTCCTCCAAATGAAATAGCTTATTAATAGCCTTTTTTTTGAGTTCATTAACTACTTGATTAGCGAAAGAACTACGATAATAATAAGAAAGAGACATGAGTAGGCAACTGACAATAATAAAAATAATTACAAATAATAGATAATTTTTCCAGTCGTTGCCAAAATCTATTAAGGGTTTTTGACCAAAGGAGGAGAAAATATATTTCGCTTGGGCTTGGCCCGAAGTTGGTTTTAACAGAGAATAAACTTTTTCGGCACCATTTTTGACCAGAAGAAGAAAAGAAATGGTGCTAACTGTTGCCAAAAAAAGCAGTATTACTATTTTCTTTCAATATTTTTTACTAAATCAAATTCAACCAATAAGTTTTTTTTTACTTCGTTTCGTGTTTGACATAAATAACTAATTTGATTTTGGTCAATTTTCCTAATGTCTGGTGGGAATTTTCTTGCTGTTTTTCAAATTAAAAACTTTAAATTAAAGATTACTTCTCCCAACCGCTGATAAAAATAAAAGTAATCAAAGGACTACTAAGAATAAAAACCACTTTCTATTCTTTCCCAAAATCCAACTCCGTCAATTGTCGTCCCCGTCATATCCCATCGCTTTGCTTATTCGAGAAAAGTTAAGAGCGCAAATAGCAGAAGTAAAAATAAAATAAATTCAGGTAAATATGGCGTATTTTTTTTTGAAAAGCCAAAGAAGTCATAACTTGGGGAAGAAATGACCAAAAATAAGAATTCCCGTAACAAAGTAAATTAGAAATAAGAAGATGAAATTTTCTAATTTGCCTCGTTTGTTTTTTTTTGCTTCGACCATTATTTTTTTACTAACCAATTTGAGTTTATATTCCCAAATATTTTTGATTTACACTGCTACTTTCCCTTTAATAGGTGGATGAGGGTCATATTTTTCTAAATTAATATCTTCGAAGTGAAAATCGAAAAGTGATTTTATTTTTGAATTAAGTTTCAAGGTTGGCAATTTTCTGGGTTCCCTGGATAATTGCATTTGAGCTTGCTCTAAATGATTTAAATAAATATGAGCATCACCAATTACATGAATAAATTCTCCCGGTTTATAACCACAAGTTTGGGCAATCATCATAGTTAGCAAGCTATAACTAGCGATATTGAAAGGAACACCTAAAAACATATCACCACTTCGTTGATATAATAAGCAAGATAATTCTTTATCACTAGAAACAAAAAACTGAGTTAGTAGGTGGCAGGGTGGCAAGAGCATTTTTTTAATTTCGGGAGGATTCCAAGCGGTTAAAATATGGCGTCGAGAAAAAGGTTTTTCTTTTAAATTCTCTATTAATTCTTTTAACTGGTCTACTCCGTTAAAATCACGCCATTGCTTGCCATAAACAGGTCCTAATTCGCCATGTTTTTGAGCAAAATTATTATCATTCTTAAACTTTTCCATAAATTCTGGCAAAGTTTCTCCTTGATAGTCAAGAGATGATTTATATCTTTCAAAAGGTCATTCGTTTCAAATATTTACACCATTGTCAACTAGATACCTAATATTAGTTTCACCCTTGATGAACCATAGCAATTCATGAACAATGGCTTTAAAATTAACTTTTTTAGTAGTAAGTAGCGGAAATCCTTCTTGCAAGTTAAATCTCATTTGGTAGCCAAATAGTGCTTTTGTTCCTACTCCCGTTCGATCTTGTTTTTTCTCACCATTATTTATTATGTTTGTTAAGAGATCTAAATACTGACTCTCCCCCATTTTTAAATCTCTTTTTCTTCCCAAACTCCTAACCTTTTCCGTATTTCGGTTATTACTTCTACATCGATTTTTCTCTTTTTAAACCCTTGCTCCAAAGTAATATTATGGTCATTAAGTTTTTTGATTTCGTTCATTATCTCTTCCCGTTCAGTCGGCAATACCCCAGCCGCTATTTTTCTTTCTAATTGTAGTATTTCTACTTCCCTTTTTCAGTA